TTTTTATTTTCTTCATACTGGGGTATTATTTTACATATTAAAATATTTTTATTTTACATATTAAAATAAATATGCACAGGGACCTACTAATCAGTATTTATAATAGAGAATGTCTGTCTGTTCGAAGTTAGATGCCAAACTCCTGGAGCTGGCCTTTCCCAACTATGCAGGGTGATTGGTCTTCATCCAGGGCAGGTCATGGGTGGGTCGGGTTCGACCTCCATTCACTCCTCTTTACTCGAAATTGCAAATGATACTATTTTCGAAACTTGCGAAATACAACATTACATCTTCATGATGATTCACAGAGGAATAGGGAGGGTGGTGAAGAGTTAAGATAGAGGTAAAAGGTAGGAAGGTAGTGAAAGGTTAGGAAGGTTATGATGTAGATAGAAAGTAGTGGTGATGGGTAAGGAAGATGTAAAAGTGTAGGGAAGATGGAAAAGTTTGGGGTGATTGTCATGGATACTACACACCCTAATACCACTGCCGTATGCAAAATGAACCATTTAGAGCTCAAAATTGATGCTCTGGACCTTAAATTACATTTGCAATATACATAGACTGACTTGTGTTGGAATAGCATTCACAAACAATTATGCTGCCCAGACCAGCACTCTATGTGGCGTCTCGCTCTTTATGGGCTCACCAACAAGAGTCAAAACCCCTCCAGCAAGCTCTCTAGGTATGCAATTAGGCACCACAAAATGCGAGTCAATATGTACACAAGTGATTACAAGTAATCAATCTACAGTTACACCACATGCATACATTCCGCTCTACGTCGGAATATATGTATATATGGTGTCGTCCTTAACCGATGGGTAGATATCCTGGAGTCTAGACTTGTATCCTTCAATGGTGATGCTGCTCAAGAGAGCACACGTCCTATCCTCTATTTACTGTCCTGATAATTGACGAGGGGAGCTAGGCGCGAAGGAGCTAGCTCAGACTCATATAATTTGCTTCGAAGCTTACAGACCATCCCACCAATCAGAATGCAGCGTCAACCGTGCAGAGGCTTCCTGATTGGCTGGGCTCTTAACATTACTAGGGTGGCGGTGAGAGACGGGAAACAGGTATATACGGCGACGGTTGGCTTGCAGTCAAGCAGAGTGACCCAAGCGAGTACCTGCCACACTCAACAGCCAACTTTGGGGTGTGTTCCCCAACCATGAACTTATAGGCTAGTTGTTTAAACTGCTAGCCAAATATAACCAGGCATCGCATGTAAATAAACACGCGAATTCTGAACTGCTGGCATGATTCCCAATCCACAGACACCCAACAATACAGTACTTGTGTCCACACATAGGCGAAACCAATGCTCAATACACTGTCTGTGCAGAGCTGCTCAGCAATCATGGAGTGCAAGTATAGCTGTGAGAAACTTCTCTCACAACAGGTGTGATGAGTTTCCGAGCCACTCGAGACGGCTTGTGCCCGGCGAGGGTGCGTCTCACATCCATCACTTCACGAGGTAAGATCGAGCTCCACCAATAGCTGACGTTCCCTGGACAATAGACAACACCTTAGACAACCCCTAGAGATACAACAGTTTCTAAAAAAATTGGTTTCCGAGCACGATCTCAAAGCTCTAGTGTAATGGACAATGTCGTTGTTGTTGTTTTAGATTCAGCTACTTAGAACGAAAAGTTCCAATCAGCACGGGCTATGGTGAGTCCGTAAGTGTAAGCTCTTTGGACCCATTATCTGTATTAATAGCAGATGCTGGGGATCTGGGGATGGAGTTGGCAGTACCAGTTATGGAGCAGGTGGGTTAGTGTAGACCTCTAGGTCTTCCGTTTTATCTTTGGCTGAGACTTGCTGCGAATTGATATGGCCGTGCTGTCGTCGGAGTTTGGTGAGGTGGCGTCCGTGAGGCCACCTCACCTGCCTCCTCCTTGTATCGAGTACGTGTCATATTTGTGCTGCGGCGATGGAGCTCCTACTAAGATTTCCTCGCCTTAGGAGTTCGTACCATCCGTAATTGGTGGTTTTGGCTTTTGTCTCGCAGCATGAGGTAGGCTCGGGTGTCGTGGATTAGTGGTAGAAGCTATTTCAGGAGCGTTGGTGATGCTGTTAGTACTTGTTGACAGCATGTCTGCTAGCGCATCTGCTGAGATTGTGATGGTAGGAGTGTTGGAAGCTGGAGAATGAAATACCTCTATTTGTGCCGCCCAGGTCTTGGGTGGTTCTGGAGTCTGCGTTGAGATCGACCTCGTGGTCATCCTGGTGATAGTCTCCAGAGTGATAGTGGAGGCAGTGAGACTTGCGTCCGGGGCGATTATGTGGTCCAGGCCGTTGGCTAGGTACAGCGTGTTGAGTTCCTTGACAAATCTTTGATTGTCTGGTCCAGCAAGCCTCTCCGCTAGTCGAATAAGACCAGGGATAATGCCTGCCCGTAATGTAAAAGACTGTGAGGGTACTCGTTGGTCCTTAGTTTCCCAGTGTGGAGGCCGGGTGGCCTGTTGGGAGGAGCCACTGTTTGGTAGTACTGTGAAGTCTTCTAGTAGGTTGGTGAAAGCTGAGGTGCTGGGTTTGATGCCGATGTCTCCGGCGAAAGTAAAGGGTTTGGCTTTATTGGATTCTGCCTGGATCCTATTGATTTCCTGTCTGCGAGGGCAGTGGTGGGAAATTTCAGGGTCAACCCCGCTGCAGAACAGACAGTAATAGTTTTTTTTACTTGCAGTTAGTAATGATAATCATGGTCCTGGGCGCAAGGGCTGCACTTCTAGACAGGGTGCTGGCACTTGTTGGTGGGATGGGAGTAATCGTCGCACGGAAAGCACTGTTGGAGCTTGTGCAATCGTTCCTTCTTCACTTGGAAAGGTGGAATGATGATGCTGAAGCACTGGAGACCATGTGTGGCAGCCTAGTTAGCCGCGGCTAAGGTGGTGACAGATATCTTCATGGTGTAGCGCTTGTCGTCGTCAGTATTAGTGCTGCAGCCTATAACATCGAATACCCCCAGGTTCGGGTTTTCCTCCTCGATGTTGATATTGATCACCGTTTTTCTCAGTTCTCGATCCAGCGGCTGGTCCCGCTGATAAAGACTGTTCAGTCGGCGGAATATTGACGTGGAAAGAGAGAACAAAGATGGTGCACTTGACGAAGTGTGCTAACGAATTTAAGGGAGTTTTTCGAGATTCTCCACACACGAGAAATGTGCACAATATTCTCCCCCTCTAGACCAAGGTCAATGGGTCTAATGCCAGCGCTTCTTGTAGGAACTTCATGACGTCGCTTTTGGTGAAAGCATGGCCGTCCATGAGGCAAATCCCGACTTTTCGGCATTTGTGGCGCATTGTCATTGTTAAAACCCCCTCAACGGGTCGATGTGGCGATGGATGTCTTGTGAAGTTACTCAGGCTTGCTGATGTCGACCGGGTGTGGTACTGTGCATAACTGTGGTAATGGACAAAGAATCTCTTATTCTTATTTATGATGAAGCACTGTGGTGCTCCTCACCTCACCACTCTCTTATCTTATATTTGCCTGTACCTTCCTCTCTTCTTACTCCAGTTACAGCCCTACTCCTGTGCCAGGTAAGTCCACTACGGTCTCACCATAGTCCGTGCTACTTAGACCTTTTTGTTCAGAGTAGCGGAATCTAAAACAACCTTCTTCTTTCATACGGCTTGATAATGGTCCAGGATGGACCGAAACGTCATCGTTTCCTTACTTTCTGATGTGTAGTTTGGTCATCATGTAGCACTGTTTCTTTCTGTTTCTCCAACTAGTTACACAGTCTGACACACACGAGGCATTGCGACGCACACTCAGGCGTGGCCACAGAAGCACACAGGCGCTGTCGTTCGTGGCCCAGGGATATGATGACACGGCTCATGGTAGGAAGTGCTAGCTCGCTTACCTAAAGGGGACCACTCAGGCTGCTCCTGGCAGGGAAGCATCTACACTACATCTCGTAAAATCGACTCCACCTCGACAAAGGTATACTAACTACACGTAGATTACACTCTACCCCTTCAAGCTCTTACTGCTTTATGGTGGCACAAAACACAACCAAGGTCTCTTACACCCGTGAAATAACACGCCTCTCTTGTCATTCTGCACTAGTGACCCCCACACAGGAATATGTCATACAATGCTGTGCAATAAGCTCTTCATCACTTCACACTCCATCCATTCAGAATACTGTGTCGTCACTGCAAACACCCTTGTCTCATTACGTACTACACACTGTCGCAACAGAATATCTGTGCCTGAAGCTCTATTACAGTGGAACGACCGTTCCCGCACCCACCTGTTGATATCTTGTAACAAATGCACTTGCTCCTCTTTCAATGACATAACCAGTGATTTGCCTCTGGAAACAAATAGGCTGTATTGGGCAATATATTTTTGGTACTTAAAGGAAGTAGACCATCTTCGTTTAGCTACTACGAACATTTATATACACCCTCCTGGATTCACAGCCCGAATGCCGTTTTATGTTGCCTCTAAGGTTCATGGGTGCTGTTTAACTCCAGACATGAGTGCCTCTTCTCACCAAGAATTTAGTACACAATTGTCTCATGTTAGATCTCTGCTAGGCCCAGGTGACATGCAGTCCCTGAGAGGAGTACAGAGGGTTTGTGATCAATCGGGAGAAGGGACATCCCGTCTTGGGGACCTTGATTCGCCCTCCCAACCACACCTTGTAGTCAGATATGCCCTATCTCGCTACTGGGGGGTCTTCCCTAGTATCAATCAGCTCTCATTGACTCTCACTCAACGAGATGGTATAGGTCAACCTACTTAGTATATCTGAAACCAACAGAAGTATTAATTTTAAGAACATCATCAGGGAAAACATACAGAAGACACACATGTGGGTGTGCAATTAAAAGCAATTTCTAAAATAAGCTCCCACCACTCCTCGAATGAGTTGTCTCAATTTAAAGTAGCAAGAGTTAATGACAGCATATATGAACAGATCACTTACTCCAAAGATAGACCTCAAAAGTTTTTCTGTAAAACATTACAATGAAAAATACCTTCAAATGGACGTATGAGAGCGAGAGATTTAGGCAGCAGCGTTGGCTTGAGAGAGGTTATTGATAAGGTGTCGGTAGGATATGCAATTACAAATTCAACAACTCTGAGGCGATTTGCCGTCGGTACTGTAAGAGTGGAAAAGTCCATTTCCTCTCGCTGGAGCAGACCGATCGTCCCCGTGAAGGTACCATTCGTCTCCACTCCCCAGGTGCGGTTAATGGCCTCATGAACATCGAAACTGCGAGTCAAAATGGCAACACTAAATAACCTCAGAATGAAGAAACACAGTATTGCAGATGTATTTTATTAGTGATTATAGAATATTATTGATAAATAATAAGACAATAGGTTTAATGTAAATAATGAACTGTCAGCATGGTGTACTTCCCTTCATGTGGTTATGGGGTCGAGCATTCGAACCCTAAAGTAGACTTTAGTGCTTTATGATCAGTTAATGTAATGATTCTAAATTCTCATAGGTCTTCTATTTTCTTGTGAATTAGCATTTGCAATGTCTTCTCGTAGTGCACAGCATTTGCTTGCAACTTTATTGCTAAAGAAGTTCATCCTGGCATCTCGATGGCTCATCTATGTCTCAATTTTTCATCCATGGTGTCTATTAGTAGAGAATATAAATTTTAACATGACATTTGTTAACTCCGTTTGTTCCTCTCAATATCTAACACATTGTAATTGCACCTCATATGCTTTAGAGTTCCTCTACGTGATGAGACTAAGTTCTCTTCGCCGTTTACTTCAAAATTGTCTACTCATCTCTCGGAAAAAAGTTTATCATTTATTTCATTATTTGATTTTTAGTTTCAGTTTGTGCTATTTTTAGGTGGAAATTCCAGGCCAGAGACGCACACTGAAGGGTAAATCTTGTTTTTCTAAAGGATTCTAATGGTCTCTTTGCCAAATTCCATCATTTGCTAAACTCTAACACTGAAGTTCTCAGTGTAAGTCATCGGGTTCTCTAGTTTCCATACTAAGGATTGAGTTTCACATGGGTTGAGTAAGAAGATTGACGACTTAGAGCAGGCAGCTGGTGCATGCATGCACCAGCTGTCAGGGAGGCCAGGTACCACATGCTTTACATCGTCAATGGGTAAAGTGGGCGTCTCACTTATGTTGTGGTGAGCGGCGAAGAATTTGCGCGTAACCGCAAGCCCGACCCCTCCGTGGGAAATTTGTGACTACAACTGCATGCGAGCACCTAGACAGATGGACAGGTGGTCCTTCGGAAGTTCAAGTGGTGCTATGGCGATCCATCTGAGCAGTTTGAGTGGTCCCCCGCATGCACGGCCGTAATCACAAGGTGGTTAAGAGGTGTTGGGTTAGGTTAGAGAATAGGTGTTCATGAACGGAGAGCATCCGTGAGTATGTGTACAGGTGCACAGATGGTGCACGCGGGTGACCCTCTCGCCCAGAGTGAATTGGGTGAAGGTAAGAAGGGCTTCCCTAGCGGGGCAGTGTGCCACACGCTGGCGGCCTTCTCGGTCGAATGGGTATGGGTTCCAGGGAAGGTCATCCTAGCAGCCGTGCTGTGTCACGTGCATGGAGTTGTGCGCAGGAAGGTAGTATGTCTCTCACATTGCGTGGATATTCATTGTCTATGGGTATGATGTCTCCCCAAAAGCTTCGCGGAATCTTTGCCATAAAGTGACAAAGAGGGACGAAGAACAACCCGTTTCCGCGTAAAAGTCATGGCACAATTCAGAAGTAGAGAACTTGAAGCCATGACCTGTGGCCCAAGACGACACGGCATAATCGCAAGTTGAAGCCGGCGTTGAAGGAGAGGCGAATCATCACCCTGACAACAAAGGGTAAGATCATCGACATAGAGAGCGGAGAAGACACCAGAAGGAAGAGAGGAAAGAAGACCATTGAGGGCGAAAAAGAGTAGTGCTCAGGGGGCACACCTTCGTATTGCTGAAAAGAGAGAGCGGTACCAAGGCGCACCCGAAAGGAACGACGAGAGAGGAAGCTGCGGAGAAAGAGAGGGAGATGACCACGAAGGCCAAAAGAATGAAGTTGAGATAGGATATGATAACGCCAAGTGGTGTCGTAAGCCTTTTCTAGGTCAAAAAGGACGGCAACAACGGAGGTCTTCGCAGCAAAAGCAGTACGTATATAGACCTCCAAGTTCACCAGGACATCTGTCGTGCTGCGGCACTTGCGGAAACCAAATTGAGAAGGGGAGAGGAGGTGATGGTGTTCCAGGAACCACATCAGACGAACGTTAACCATACGTTCAAAGAGTTTGCAGACACAACTTGTGAGAGCAATAGGGCGAAAGTCCTTAGGGGAAGTACCCAGAGACCCTGGTTTGCGAACAGGGAGGACAACGGCATCGAGCCAGTCCTCAGGGACTGACGACGACTCCCAGATCCGATTATACAGACTCAGTAAATACTGAGACGTGCTCGGAGGGAGATGGCGAAGCATCTCATAATGAATACCATCGGAGCCCGCCGCCGTAGAACCGCAGAGGGCCAGGGCAGAACGAAGTTCAGAGAGAGAGAAGGGATCATTATAGGGAAGCTGAAGATGAGTGCAGAAATCTAAAGGACGAGACTCAAGGACAGGTTTACGAAGAAGGAAAGATTGGGGAAGATGAAGACCAGAGCTAACAGAAGAAAAGTGGGAACCCAGTTCGGAAGCGACCTGCAACGGGTCCGCCACAAGAGTATCATGGAGGTGAAGGACCGGTGAAACATCGGGAACGAACTTACCCGCTATCTTGCGGATACGCTTCCAGATCTGGGCCAGAGGGGTTTCGGACGTAATTGTCGAGACATAAGATGCCCAACATTCACGTTTAGCCGTACGGATGGCCCTACGGGCCACCGCACTCGCTTTCCGAAAGAAAAGAAAAGAATCGGTCGTCTGCCTACGGCGGTGCTTCTTCCAGGCTGCACGCTTACAGCGGACAGCCCGAGCACAGTCCGCATTCCACCAGGGAACGCACTTCCGTGGACCCCGAGAGGAAGAGCGAGGAATAGAGCGGAGGGCAGCGTCGAAGACAGTGTCATGAAAAAGGAGGAGAGCGCGAGGAGGGGCAGAAGGGAGAGGTCAGAGAGAGTAGCACTGAGGGAAATCCAGTCCGCCTTAGCAAACTGCCATCTAGGGAAAGAGAGGGAAGGGCGAAAAGAGAAAAAGGAAACAAGGATGGGGAAATGATCACTTCCATGGAGGTCATCAAGAACCTGCCATGTGAAATCTAAGTAAAGAGAAGAAGAGCAGAGAGAAAGATCAAGACAAGAAAGGGTGCGAGTTCGAGAGTCCAAATGAGTGGGCTCACCAGAATTCAGAAGAGACAGGGAAGAAGAGAGGAGAAACGGCTCAAGGAGGCGACCCCGGGTATTCGTCAGAACGTCACCCCAAAGAGAATGACGACAATTGAAGTCACCCAGCAGGAGCACAGGCTCCGGCAAGGAGTCTAGGTGGTGTTTCAAATCAGGAAGAGAGAGCGGGACACTCGGGGGGAGATAAATGGAACAAACTGTGTACCATTTCCCCACAAAGATACGAGCAGCAGAACAATGGAGAGGCGAAGGAAAAAGTAAAGGAACAAAGGGAACATCAGCCCGAATCAAGAGAGCAGAAGAATTAGAAGCCCCAGCAATGGCTGGGGGGGGGGGAGAGAAAGGAATAGCCACAAAAACGACCAGGACGAGCACCAAGCATCGGCTCCTGGAGACAGACACAAAGGGGCGAAAACCGCGAAACCAGAAGTTGGAGTTCGAGGAAATTGGCGTAATAACCTCGAACGTTCCATTGAAGAATGGACAACGACGAGAAGAGAAAGGACAAAAACAGAGAACAAGGAAGAACAAAGGCGAAAGACCAACAGAGCACGTTAAAGAATATCAGGGTCGGGATCAGGGTCAGCAAAGTCAGGGTTAGGGGGCATGGGTAAACTGAGCAAAGACGGAGGGAAGGAAACGGGAGAACAGATCAGAGGTGGGCGGGCAGGGTCCGGAGGAGGAGGAGGAGGAGGAGGAGGAGGAGGAGACAACGGAGAGGAGCAGTCAAGGACAGCAGCAGGAAGAGGGGGAGTAGAAAGAGAGGAGCGCACCCCAGCAAGAGCAGCAACCCGAAAGGGAAGCAGGGGCCAAAGAAACCTCCATAGCAGGAACAGGGGGCGCAAGCACTGAAACGGGAGTGGAAGGAGCAACAGAGCCAGAAGGAGGAGCTGAGGAAGAAAGCGAAGCCTTCTTACCCGCCGGGGAAGAGGAAGGAGAGGAGCCAGGCTTACGCTTCTGACTTAAAGAGACCGGTGTCCCAGCAACTACGTACCGGGCAACGGATTCCAGTGTCTCAACAGGAGAAGCCGAACGAGAGCACACACGACGGCCGTCGATGGACATCCGCCCGCACCGACAGGCGGCGGGGAGAGCCGATAGCGGAGGGGGACCACAGAAGACACGACAGACCGGGTAGAAGGAAGGGGAACCCCAGACAGAGGACCAGGAGGAGGATCCTTCGGGAGAGAACCCAAAGGGACAGAGGAGGGGGCAGTGGGCGCATCACAAGGCGCAAGTGGACGGTCATCATCCAGAGGTATTGAATGAGGATGTAAATGGATCGTCCAGGGTATTAAAATATATCGCTCATAGAAAAAATTACTTTTTTCACTAAGATGGAAAAGCGTGTGCGTAGGAGTGTAAGACAGATAAATAGATAGATATAATAATGTACTAAGGTGTGGATGGGATAGTCATATGACTTTGTAGTACCAAAAACATCTGCAAGGAGCAGCTGGGGTCCCTCCACACTTCTTCAGGAAAGACAGAGAGATAGATGGCCATGAACCTATGGAGCATCCGAGAACACTTAACGCTCGGCTAAGGGCGTCATAACAATTTGTTTTTATGCATTGAGAACCACAGACCTCACTCGGCCTTGGAGAGTTAAAAAATAGTGGGTAAACGAAGTTTGGAAACTGTTCGTTTTGTATTAGCAATGGATAGTTCATAGAAACTTACCTTTTTTAGTTATCACTAAAAGAGTGGTACAAACTTGATTTTCTAGTTTTTCACTAAAAGAGAGGTGAGAGATGAGTATGAGTAATATATAATATATATACAGATGGATATATATAGATAGATGGTGTTATTGTAATCTCCTGATTAGGCAGAAGATCCTGCCTGTTTCCTTTATCGCCTATTCACCAACGTATCTGCATGCTCCAATATAAGGAATCAACATTAACGTCAACAGCAATACATGATC